ATTATAAAATATTTATTCATCTCTCTATTCGCTAACGAGAAGTGCTTGTAATTAATACTTCCATTTAATTATCATTGAATTTATAACTGAAAATAAGTGCTCAAAACGTTTTTGATATACTCTTCCTCTCAATCAATATTTCCATAGAATTTCTAATTTGTTTTATAAACCAATTATTGATGATATAATTAGTTTACGAAATCATTTTTTACAGTTAATTGTAATTTCTAATGAATCTTGATGATCACCTTTTTTGTATATTTCGTAACCAAAAGTTCAACTATTGACAATTAGAGGCCTTAAAAATTGCTTATAATGTAATAAAAACATTTATATATATATATAATTATAAATTTAAATTTAATTGAATAATATTCTTAATGTTATAAAGATATTGGTTTTTGATATAATAGCTATAAATTTATATTAAAAATTTCCCATAAAAGCGCATAAAATCATTATATTTTTCCTAAATCTGAAGTGTTTTGTATTGAAGTTGTTTTTTGTAGTTATTAAGCAGTGAATGGTTGTGTCGGACAAATAGCTACAAAATGGGTTTCCTTTTTATAAAATCAAAACAATTTATAACGATTTTTTCAAAACTACTATTTATAAGAATTTTGAGTACAATATATTTTTGTGAACTTCAATATAATGTGATTTTTTATATAAAATATTTTTAAATAAAATGATATCATAAATTGATTAATTTTTCCAATTCTTTATTTATTCTATTCATGAGATATGAAATGGAAAATACAATAAAAATTCTTGTATTTTAATCGCGTCTCTCCATTGAAATACCAGTTCAGTCAACATATGGCTAGCGATGACTGGTTTTGTCATTTTATTTGTTGATTTATTCGAGACATTTGTTAACAATAAATGTTTGAATAAATGTCAGAATCGCGTATAAATAAAGTTATACAGAATTGCTAAAGTTATATATAGTAGATTTCTATTGTTTTTTGGTATTTAATAATATGTGTTAGGAATTATTAATAGGTTTTAAAATTATTGAATATATATTCCATAAAAATAGAAATTATTGAATCGACAATGAATTAGGGATTAGATTCCATGTGTATATCTAATCAATTGATAAATTGAATTGTTTTTCTCATTTCACTATTTATTGAATACATAACACATATATAGTTAAGCAATGAGTGATAAATGAATGTCTCATTTGATTGCGATTAGACTTTGCACCTAAAGAATCGTCACTTTTAAACGTTATTAATGCATAAATTTATATTAAATTGAATTGAAATTTTGAAATTGAATTTAAGTATTGCACTTAAGTAACAGTATTGAAAATATAAGTGTTAAATATCAATAATAAATTCATAAGTTAGTTATTTTGTAATTAATTAAATTCACAAGAATATGTGCATTCGTGACACAAGTATATTCATATACAGTATCAATATAAAAATTAATAATAATTCTATTAATTAAATGTTAAAAGTATACTCTAATTTCAGTAGTAGTTTAATATACTGTATTTGCTTTAATCACATAATTATCAAAAAATATTTGTGATTATGCGATGATAAGCAAAACTATATTTAGGATGATTGCTAACACTACGGTATTCATATCACTCAAACTCTGTTCCCAATCACATATACCGTATCCACCACTTGGAAACCGACCTCTAAGTATTAAATCAATTAATTAAATGAAAAATAAATTATTAATAATCAACACAACAATCAATATAATAAGAAAATTAATAGATTTTATTATAAATTTACACTTTTATAATAGAATATCAATCATAAAAAATTTCTCATTAAATATAAAAATTCAAAAATGAAAACAAATTCAAAGCACGACTGAATTGACTGGAGTTTCTGACAATTTCATTGGAAATGTGTTGCCGACGATCGCGCAGTGGTAGTGGTGGTGGTGGCCGTCAAGTGGTGAGCAATAGTGTGGGAACCGCTTTAAGAACCGCTAGGAATCGTTCTCCAGAATGGATCCCAGGGCCACATTCCTCATGCGCTTTGGTTTGACAGACTTGGGCTGAGACAACAGTTTGTCTAATTTGTTGACAACTCTGAGCACCAGTTGATCCGCTCGTACGACAAGCGTCTCGTTCGCGTCGAACACCAATTGGCTGTGAATTGGTGTCAACGGCGAGAATCCTCTCAAGAAGTAGTCGTGAAATAGAGCTTTGGTGTGACTGTCGCTCTGACCCTCTTTGTCGCTGTCTTTGCTGTCGTTCAGGACATCGGAGCAGCTCTTGAGCGCCGCCTTCACGTCCTTAAGCTCTTTGGCGAAGACATCGAAGAATGACTTTTGCTGGGCTTTTAGAGCAATGAAATCGATGGACACGTCGAACGCCATTAAAGCGAAACTCAAGTCCTTATTATTACTACAATCCAAGTGTTTGTTTGACGTCAGCTCGCAGTTAGTGATCACAAACTGGATCAATGGCCTCAGGATTGTGTCCATATTATCGCTATAAATGGAGATCACAGACAAGTAGAACCAATCGATGCCCTTCTGAGGGTACGTTGGGATCAGCTGTTGGTCATCGGGTGAGCCGTCGCTGACATTTGAGCCGTTTTTGATGATTGACTTCAGAATATCCGAATCGAAACGATTGACCGCAACCTTGAGGTTAGTCTCGGCGATCACTATGGGATCCGCTGACGACTTGGCGGCCCTGCAGTAGTAGTAAATGCACTTCAAGTGCTGACTCAACGGCGTATTGATGGCCAACTGGTTGTAGGCGTGCCCTCGGGTGGGGTCCAGTCGGCGGGCCCTCAGGTAATAGTTCTCCGCAATCGACGTCTTATTGAGATAACGGTTGAGATCTCCGATTCGGATCAGTATATTGTATAACAAGAGTCGAGTCGTTGCAGACAATTGGCTATTAATGGCAAACAAAAGGTACGGCTCTTTGTGTCTGTCGTTTGTGACAATCGCTTCCATCAAAGACACGTAAAAGCCAATCAAATACTCGATGAGTATTGTGTCCTACGAGTGGTGGCAGAGGAGGGATGGGTTAGTCTTAAGAGGGGAACAGGTGTTTGACATACTTTCTGATGCCTGTATTGTTTGATGTCATTCCAGAGCTGCTTCTCGTAGACCAACGAGGAATCGGTGGACACGTTGGCGACAATCACGCGATACGTTTGTTCACACTTTGGCCGCAAGTTATTGACGCCATTCAGAGACACATCGATGGCGTCGGCGGTCGGCGAAGACCTCTGCAAACGGTGTCCAACGTGCGAGTCGTCTGAATGGCGGCCGCCGTTGACAGCGCGCCGGTCCCTCGCGTACCCACCCGTCCGACCACTCATTGTGTGGTGATATGAGGTCTTCGGGTATCAAATACGGCTGATCTCTGCGACCATTGATGGCGTTATCGTCGATATAAACATCGCTTTCATGTGTCGATCACTTCGTATGAATGAAGGGGTCGTTCAGTAATTGAGACGAGAATTGGTGTCAAAACTGCATTCAATTCAATGCATTATTGTTTGCATCAAATGTTTGGATTCTTGATGTCAACAGTAAAGTCATAGTACTGTACTACATTTGATTTAGAATTACCTTGATTATCATTATTGACCATGGTACTATGTTTGTTAGATTATAAAGGTTGAAATCATATGAAATATAATTATTTAATATACTTGATCTGAGTTGATGCAAGACTATCATAGTTTGTATAATAAACTGGTTTTAAACACTTATTCTTAGTTATAGTATGGGTTGACCTAAAAAAAAGTTTCGACACTAAAAAGTATAGGAATTATTGCTAATAAAAAAGTTCTTATAATTAAATCATAAGAAATACATTGAATTCAGTGTTAAAATTTGATTCATATTTTATTAAAAACAGTAAAATAAATTCATTTGAATAATTAACAAGTATTTTATACATATTAAACATGATTTAAAAACAACAACAATTAACTACAATATATTTAGAAAATTACAGATTAGTTATGAAACATTTATTAACATATATTAATATCTCTTGGACTTCACGCGAATGGACATGGGTTTGGGAGTAGATGTCTCCCTAATCGGTGATGATGTCTCATGGGATTCATAGCCCGTGTCCAACGTGTTTGTGGCCAAAGCATTATCACTCAACAGGTGGACATCAAAAGGTGCCGATATATCGGTATTACAGGGGGTTGTGGCCCACATGGGCTTAAGTGTTAGGTGTTCTACACCACAACCTAATGACCCGGCCCATTTTTGGTATAAATTTACCGGTACCTCTAGTGACTGTAATGACCCGGCCCATTTTTTGTAGGCACTTCTTGGTACCTCTGGTGACCGCAATGACCTGGCCCATTTTTTGTAGGCACTTACTGGTACCTCTGGTGACTGCGCGAGTTTCACATCATTGGGTTCGCGGTTCAGTTGGGGCTCAAGAATTTGAAGCACCGATTGGTCCCAACAGTCAGTGTCTTCGGTCCGGGAGGTCTCCATTGGATCGACGCTTTCGGCTCCAGAACTCACATCATTGTAGCCATAGTCGGTGTCGTCGACCACATCGTTGAACACCTTTTCGCACACCTCTTCCAGTTTGACGGGTGATTGGGTTGGCGTCACATCATTGGGTTCGGGGCTCAGGTGTTGCGCGAAGTCCTGCTCCTCAACGGCAGTCATGTATCGACTTTCGCCGAAACTGTTACTCACATGTGATGACTCTCGCGTGCGGTCCACGACATCAACATCTTGTGTGACATTCAAGTTCATAATCAGTTCAGTCGTTTGATTGGAGTCCTGATTGAAGATAATGGACGACATGTTGGCAAACGCCTGCTCTGAATGGTCTGAATGCACGTCCGCTTGGGTTACAAAAGATGTCGAAATGTGTGATATCTTCGAGATATTGATCTGCGAATCGCTGTCGAGTTCGCTGTTATTTGCGTTAACCATAAGCTGTTCGTCGAGTCTGTCGTTCACTACAACACTATTTGTCTGTTTCTTCAACACCTGTCCCATACTCCAGGTCCTGTCCACTCATTAATAGCTAAGAGTTTGAGTAAAACTTTATTGGAGTTTGCATTCAAATCATAGGAAACATTGAATGGATTATTGGAGTCATCTCTCGACACCTCATTCGCACTGTTCTTATCATTCATTCCCATCAGTGAGTCGTTCACTGAATGAAAGTTTTACTTGAATTCAATCTTTTCATACATTTATTCAGTTATTTTTTATATGAAATTCTGTGAATAAAAATTAGTTTTAATATAAAACATGTTTTATTTTCAAATTGAAATGAATTCTGACATATGAATTGGCAATAACTTTATAATAATGTCTAAAACACATTCCGATTCATAACATAATGACCGGAATATAATAAATACAGAATATTCTTTAAACTCTTATAAATAAATAACAAAATGATTTAATCGCTATAAACAGATGAATGGTATGGTATGGGTAGGTATGGTCTACCTAAGCGAATAAGTGTATGGTTTGAAATCGTTTGAGTAATCAATTTCGATAATCTTCGGCAGTTTCTGCGATTTCTGTGATATTCTCGACTTTTGCGATGTCTTGGATTTGCTTGAATGCGTCGAATACCTGGACAGCGGACGGGTATGTTGTAGAGGGGGCTGTAGTGTGGAGTAGTGTTTGGGCACAAAGTGGTCTCTATAATAGACTAAGTGATGAGATCTCAACGATTTGTTTGATTTGTTGGAGTCGTTGAAGGAGTTGTTGAGGACAGCCGTCCGGTTCAAAGACATTCGCGAACCAAAGCCCGTGTTTGGAGAGATCCAGTTCACGTGGTAGGGGTCGTAGTCATCCACTTCCGAGGGCTCCCTTTCCACCACCTAATCATCAAATAATGTCAGTTTGTTTGATAATAAGTTTCTATAGTACAGTATATGCCAGGGATTGTCAACTCAAATAACTTTTTTAGTTCATTATTCTTAAGCCCTCTCATCAAGAATTTAATGTTTAGAAAGAATTTTAGTTTTTTATTTTAAATTACTTTTCAGTTCAATGACGGCAATGATATGTGTTGTTATATTTTAAGCCTAATTGATAGGCACTCCCACTCTAGATATGACAGCAGTTGGCAATCCCTCGCATTAATTTCAGTTAATTTGTAGTAATTTATATAATAATATGTTTATTACTTCTGTTTTAACGCATCGACAGGAAAGGGATGAACACATGAATAAATTCACTAAAAGCATGAGTACTAATAAGACTGTGAGCACTATGCAGACTATGATCAGCCACGGGAACCTCCATTCCGAGCAATCGGTTAGGTTTGCCGAAAGCACTATATTTATAAAATGTTGACAAATATTTTAATGTTTAATCAAAGTTTGTATTTGTCTCAAGTCTTACGGTTATCATCGGACGGCTCGAACACATATACTGTTGTGGATGAAGATATCA